TTAAGTTAAATAAGTCTCCTCTAAGAACGGATTAGAAGTTAGTTTATTTTGCCTCTTTCATCCATTCGACATCATTATTATTATGTTTGTCTGTGCTGTAAAATAACAGGATCAAGGTCCTTTTCAGAAGTATAATTCTCATTTACGTGCAGAGTTATGGGACTTTTGCCTGAATATGATTTTAAAATTTGAATTTAACCATGCTTTGTCTCTAATAAGTTTCCAGTAGAGGTTGTGCAATAACCCTTAGTGCAGAAAAGGGAAATTGCGGTGGGAAAACAAACATGGGATTATGAGGAATGCATAAAACACTTCTCAAGAGTATCAAAAAAAGAAAATTAATTAACGTGTACTTGATTAAATGCAGACTAGTACAAAAGATCAATAAAATGAAAAGTAATCGAATGAATGAATGAAAATATAATTTTTGCATGATGGTCAAGATGATCCGTATCAGAATTAAATTCCTCAACTGCAAGGCCAAGTACAGTGTATAAACTTCAGAATTCCAATTCATCATACAATGATATATATCTAACAACGAATAAAGCAAAACTGGGTAAAATTATTGTTATGAAATTTGCTATGTTCCCTAGTAAAACAAACAGAAATAAAGTAACATAAAATTGAACATTTGAGAAGGTCCATCCTGTTTAAAACTGTTGTTTGGTAGAGCTCATTTTTTTACTGTGAAGAGTCTTCAATCCAACTTGACTGAAGAGAACAAGTAATAGACGAACCAGAACGAGGAAAGGAATCCAACTGTGCCTGTAGCCAACATGATTGCAAGAACCATGAATAAGGAATATCCCAAGTAAAGAGTTGCAGAAACAGGCCCATTGAGATTCTTGAGGTCAAATACAAGGTAGTTTATGGAGTACAAAAAGATGTATATGGCAACAGAACCAGAGGCAAAGAATGATTTCCACCACCATCTCCAATCCTCCACACACAGGTGCATGTAAGTTAGAAATAGAGATACCTCGGCACACACCACCACAAGAAGAATCAAAACAATTAAGAGAAATCCAAACACATAGTAAACAAGACCCATCCAAATACTGGACATGATGAAGAAGAGCTCGATGAACAAGGTACCGAATGGAAGGGTGCCGGCGCCGAGAACCATGAGCCATGATGGGTATTTCTGCTTGGGAATTTCTCGAGGGATTTGATTGGTTCGAACTGGATACTCAGCGTGAGGTGCCCTTGCTCCAAAGAGGCCACCGATAAGAGTAAGGGGAACAGAAATGCAGAACCAGAGCAAAATCAGAATAACAAACAGTGAAAATGGAATGGCTCCTGTGCTGTGGCTTCCCCATAATAGGAAGTTTAAGGTTGTCAGGATAAAAAAGGCAATACCGGGGAAGAAACAAGCAGCCTTCCATGCCACTGAAATCCATCCCTTTTTATCACCATAGCCAATCGTCCTCCATAGCCGAACTGCAACATAACCAGCAGCTACACCAAGTATCATGTAGAAAAACAGCATACCTGTGATGAGTGTTCCGCGAGATGCTGGTGACATGAATCCAAGTGCAGCAAAAAGAATTGTCACAACAGCCATCCCCAGAATCTGAACTCCATCCCCAACCATTATACACAACAAAGCAGAATTTGTTGGTGCGCGGAAAACATCTCCCACAACAAGCTTCCAGCCAGATAACTCCTCGTTCATCTGTGCCTGTGCCTCCTTATCAAGCTCCTCATATCGGGTCAGATCCCTCCTAACAGTCCTCAGGAAGATAACAAGAACAATACCAGCAAGAAAAGTGATCACCATAAGTGAATTCAGAATCGAGAACCAGTGAACTTTGGCACCCTCCATTTTCAAGTAGGCATCCCATCTAGAAGGCCACTTGATATCACTCTCCTCAAAGGTGACCTCATATGTAAATGTAACCGGCTGCCCCTCCCTGATTGGCATGGCCACTGTGGAGGGATCACATTTGATCGGTGAGGGGTATTTGTTATACATTTTCATCCCTTTAACCGAATCAGCATTGTGCAGAATACTACAAGGTATGACCTCAAACCCAACAACCATGTAACCAGGCTTGTCAGATCCCTCCTTACCAATGGTGGGGATCAATTCAGCCGCATCACCGGTCCCCATAACACGTGCCACATTGGTCTCCTCGTACTTATGGACAAGAACATTAAACCTCAGATGGTTGAACAGATAATACACATCCTGAATCTTGATACCAACAGGGTACCCAGTCCACCTCAACAAGTAGTCCTCCTTCTTGGTAAACCTAATGGCAGGCAAATTATCAAGTAACAAATTAACCTGATACATCTCATCAATCCTCTTCTTCAAAATCTTAAACTGATCACCGGAGAGCTTTTCCAGTTGACACAAAAATATCTCAGACTCATTGGTGTACATCTTAAACCTGTAGGGCGAGTTCTCGATTCGATCCCCCACAAGGAGTTCACCCAGATTCTCAGCACTGTCCTTAACACCACCTTCAGGCTTACAGAAAGGTAGACTGTAATAACTGAACGGCATTTCTGTGTCAATTGAAGTGAGAGAATTCACCTTCACCCACAACTCATCCCCAATGCCATACTTGTGAGGGTAACTACCCGGGAGGTAAAACCCATTTCCCGATTGAAACATTAAACACATCAAAACGAATGCCCACATTCTAAATCCACGACAAGACTCCATTTTTGGACGGTTTTTCGTCAGATCTGAAAGATCCATATAGGTAGATGTTAACAACACAAAATGAAAAGTAAAAAAAGGAAAAAAAAAAAAAAAAGAAGCTCTAACAAGGCACTCAGTTCTGGGAGAATGCAGATAGCAAGAGATGGCACTTTACAACATGGCAGGACTTAAAAGACGAAATGCAGGTATATATAAAGGAAAAAGCCATTGAAATGCAAGTGGATTTCACTCACCAGAGGGCAGAGGGAAGAAAATCGGCGTGGAAATTGAGTTTGAGGAATCTACAATTTATGGAAAGAAAGAAAAAAATAACACGCGAAACGGTGAAAAGAGGGCGTTGAACCCGGGAACTGCAAATTTATATGCTTCCTTTCCCTTCTTCTCCCTCGCACTGCTTCTCTTTCACTGTTCTCAATCTCATTTTCATGAGAACTCATGCCTTCGATTACTATATTACCCTTTTGTATATTTATCTATGTTTTTTTTTCCGTACAAATAATAATAAACATCCGTAATTAAAGAATACAAAAGATATATCCTTTATTAAATTACAAGTTTTTTGCGTATTAATTACTTCTTACTATTATTGTCATAACGTATGGTTTATTCTAGCGGAATAAAAGCTTGAGTTATATACATTCCAAAAGTCAGAATTAACAATAGTGTTACTGGTATTATTTATTACGAGGAACACTATTAATATATTACTTTTATAGTTAAATTATAAATTTATAAGTTCGGTACACTAAATGAAGAATAGGGTTTATTAAATATAATATGTTAGCATTTCTGACGTCCCAGTATTCAGAAATCACCTCATCTCTCATGCACTTAATACAGACAGAAAAAGAATTTTCCAACATTTAAATAATTTAACAGGGTCAACTACCTTATTAAAATATCGATTTAACATCGTAAGGAATATATTCTTACCAAAAATAACATGTTTTTTAAAACTATATATATCATAAAAGTATATACTTCAGCAGTTAAATAATATTTATTTATTTATCTGTGTAAGTGATCGTATAAATTTTAAACGTGAATGAAGTATTCCTTTTAACCTGATCTATTTTATTATTATTAATAGGAATCTTTAAAAATATAATTTGTTGTTAACAAATACTGTACTTTAAATGTGTTGCACATGTAATTAATTAACAGAAAATAAACACAGAATACCGATTGTAATTTCTATGAAGTATCCACTAATATTATTTATGATTATTTACCTAAAAATTTCAACTTAAAAATTGTACTTATTCTCATTCATTGTTTAGTCAACTTAAAAACAATTCAACCTACATTTGAATTCTTATGTAAGAAATTAAAGTTATTTTTACTCGTATTAATAGCACTGTAACAGTAATAATTATAACAGTTGCAAGTAAATAGATAAAACTGACTGAAAGATTAAAACTAATTATTTTATTAAGAACAACATAATGATACAGAAAAAATAATAGGAAATACAATTTTATACATCTCATGTAATTTGCAGGTTCACTAGTCTTCTAATATAGGCTATACAGAGTCTCATGTTCCCCAGGTTCAATAATCTGTCCAAAAAAACAAAATTAAGGGAATAGAAAAAGAAAAAAATAGTTATTATAAATTATTTTTTAATATAAAAAATAAATAAAAAAGACTATGTATATAATTAACTATACACACATAATTTGTTACTGTAAAAATATACATTAAATAACTTATTAATGAATAAAATCTTTTCATCAAGAGGCTGGTAATAAGTCAGAGCAAGTATATTAAAAAAAACAAACTTATACCAATAGATATCTATTATAACTTGGATACTTAAAAAAGAATAAAAATAAATTTAATATTAAAGTATAATCTAAACAAAATTATATAATAACATATTAATATAAATAAATTAAGTTTTTCTAAAAATATAAATTCAAATAAGTTACATTATAAAATATACATTTTAAAAAGAGTAGTTTCTCTAAAAATATCTTTAATGTTTTAAATTTAAATAAAACCATTAATTAGTAAAATTAGTTTCTAAATAAATGTTTAATTAATGTTTCTGGTAATAATAACTATTTTTTAAACATGTACAAAATTATTATTATAAACAGGTAATTAAAATATTTGTTACTTGGTTACATCTTGAAAATTATGTTTGCATTAGGAAATATTTTGTACTTTTTTCTCAAGTTTTTATCTAGTTCTTGAAATACATTCCAATTCGTTTAACCTTTGAAATATTTATGTGAAATCTTTTATTTTTCGATAATTAGATTTTTCTTTCAAAACCTGATTATTTTACTTAGTAGTAGGACATATATGATGATGCATATTCAGAATTATCTATACTTCAACTTTCTGTAGTGGAAACTCACTGCTATACAACATTCTGTAGTTGGAAGTTGATGATGAGATGCCGAATATTCTGCTGCTGACTATGTAAATAATAAAAAAAAACTGAGTGAAGACAGAAGAGTTGGAAAGAGACATACTAAACAGAACAATTTTAGATTGCACGAACTTCAATCTTCCCAGAACAAGTTCTCAGGCAGCCATAAAGTGAAGGACAAGAGAGGGAGTGGACAAAAGGGTTCATACGCTAATCAGCCTGTCTCATTTGTATCAAGTGGCATGATCCATTCCGAGAGTGTACCTGTTACAGTTGTTGAGGCTGAAGAGACTTATAGGAAGGGTGTCACTAACTCTGCCAATATAGGATCATTTGAAGAACATACTACTGGTTTTGGTTCAAAAATGATGGCTAAAATGGGGTACATGGAGGGAGGAGGACTGGGGAAAAATGGTCAAGGCATGGCACAACCTATTGAGGTTATTCAAAGGCCTAAATCACTTGGTTTGGGTGTAGAATTCTCCAACAACCCAGGTGCTGAATCATTTGGTTTGGATGTAGAATTGTCCAAAAACCAAGGTGAAATAGCTAGGAACAGATCTTCAAGAGTTGGTGCTTTTGAAAAACATACCAAAGGCTTTGGGTCTAAGATGATGGCGAAGATGGGCTTTGTTGAAGGTAAGGGATTAGGTAGAGAATCACAAGGCATCACCACTCCATTGACTGCTCTTAGGTTACCAAAGTCACGAGGACTAGGTGCCAAAAGTTGATTTAGACATTATTTATTTTCAGTCTTTGTATGTAATTGTATTGTGCGTTGCTTAAACCTTTATAATTGAGACATGTTGAAGCTTCATAATCAAGAATACCAACCCTTTACGTTAGTGTCACTTCAATACCTGTATAAAATAAATGGACGTTTATCATTAATTTTCTGTGCTAACATGGTTATAGCTGTAATAATTAATAGCCAAACCCAACAGCTTTATGAGGATCAATTTATGTGCCATATGGTGGAGTTATACTTTTTGTGCTGATTTCCAGCCTAAATAGAACACCTTTTTATGACCTCTATTCGTAATTTGGAATAAGCCGAGGTTTTAACAGACTTTTAAAAGTCAGTGGAAGTGAGTCGAAAACATTTGTCTTCGGTTTAATCTATGAGTTGTTGGTGGATTAAATGATTTGACTCACTAACTTATTTAGTTACAATTTTTTAAATTAAAAGAATTATAATTTTTTGTAATTCAAATTTAAATATTTTTATTTTAAAATGATGTTAAATTTCAAAAACTAGTCAAAATAAAAAAATTAACTTACAAATCAAATGTAATTCAAAAGCAAATTCAATAAGTGAATAAATAAATTTATAATATTAATAATTTTTGTGTCACTTATTTACAAGGTTAAACTCTTGAATGAATATATTTATATTTGAGACATTTTTTTTTCATTATTCTCATTTACAATACAATAAAAAAATATTAACTAATAATATTAAACCACAAAATAATAAATAATTAAATTAAATTATGTGCATTTGTGAGCTAACTCGGTTTACCACGAATTCAACTTGGGTAGACCGAGTTCTAAGTGAGCTGGGTTGAAAATTGGCCTGTATAAAAAAATTTATTTTTTTCAAATCCAACTCGATCCGAATGCGTGGTGGGCCGGGTTGGCAGACATGTTCTAACCCATTTTGAGAGCACCAACATAAATAAGGAAAAAAAAATTAAAATTACTTGTTTGTTGTAGTGTTGTTGGTCCACACTTTAATGAAGTATGTCTTAAACTAAATGATCCAAGTATAATTTACATATTAAAAAAAAATAGAGGTCATGCCCTAGAGGTGTATGTATACTCAAGACAATATAAACATAAGCACCAAACATGGATTGTTTCTCACAGTCTATCACATTTTAACATGCTTCCATTAACACTTATCATGCCTCAACTGAAAATTCACTAACATCTTGCATTTGACTTTGGCATTTTTCATAATGTAGAACCTACAAAGCATCTGATAAGCTTTAGAAAATATATTGTCAATGATATTCATCAAAACAAAGTCTCTCTGTCAGTAACAATAATGTGTGGACGACCCTCATATGTCATAAATATTCCTCTGAACCTTTCTAATACCCAGTGAAATTATTTTGGTGTTCACTTGATAACAATGCAAAGGTAGCTATAAATGTCAACCTTGTTGATGTGGCGCCGACTATCTCAAGTAAGGGAAGACGATATTTGTTTGTCTTGTACGTGATATCCATCAAGAAATCTATATTAAACGAATTTAACAAGTGGACTGCATTGAGATGTGTGCAGAATAGGTCACTTATCACGTCAGAATTGTCTAAAAATCTGCTCCACTGGATGTATTTATCTCAATCTAACATCATCATCAACTGTTGCATTTCAGTTCTTGATCCTCTCAAAAATCATTTGTATGTGTACTTTGTGTTATCTATTTGTTTCATAGTTGTCACATTAATATCGTTATGTTCTTTAAGAGTCAACAGAATATTCGAGGACTTTACTTAACTCTTAGTCATGTCAACAAATATTGATTGTTGAGCCACATTTAACCTTCTAACAAAAGAATGACCAACCAAATTCTCAATTAATTCATGGTTGTAATAGCCGCAAATAACCCTAAAAACCCAACCCTCTCCATTAGGATAGGGTTTTCGCCTCGACCTAAATGGACACCCACATTTTTTTTGTTCTAGATACACAGGATTGAAAATCTAGTTTATACTACCTATACTTCTCACTCCTTTCACAACTTAATAAAACGAATGTCTTTCTTTCAGTTTCACCACTTGTTGTGTTAGATCTTATAATGACCACAATAAATCCAAGATCGAATGCAATATTTCAAACTCATTCAATTAAATCATCATGTGAAGAAAATCTTTTATCTGTAATAAATTTATTTATATAATCACCCTCAACCACTTTATTTACAAAAGAAAAAAATTGAGACAAAAACATAATTATCCATCTTATAGTATTAATCACAACCTACAATAAACATAGTTATCACTAAATATTTCTCAATTTAATAATAATAACAACACAAATTCAAAATTAAATAATAGATAAAAGCAACATCACATATTACAAATTATTAAATAAAAAACAACACAAGATATTAAAATTAAATAATAATTAAAAAACATAAACATATTATAAATTAAATAAAAAATTAAAAACATTAACACGTATTAAAAATTAACTAACAAATAAAAACAACAAAAACATGTTAAATATTAAATATTAAATAAAAAATATAGACATATTATAAATTAAATAAAAAATTAAAAACATTAAGACATAAATTAAAAATTAAATAAAAAACAACAAAACACAATAAAAATTAAAATATAATTAAAAAACAAAAACATATTATAAATGAAGTGAAAACAGGGGTGCAGATCATATAGTTAAAAAATGGTTGGTCAAAATTTATTACGCTTTTCATTTATTTCTCACCGGTGCATTTACTTTATTCTTTTTAAATTGAAGGGTACATGTCTCCATTGGAGGTGCAGGACGAAATTAGGACGAAATTAGTGAGGTGCGGGAGAATTCCTCTTGAATTCTTGTCTACGATTCTTGAATTCGGGTGAGATGCTGGAAGAAACTCTCAGTTTTTGGTCATCAAGACTTCTTTATCGTTAAAATCTTTTCTTGGTTCTTCCATACTTTTCTTTTGTAAATGGGTTGCAGGAAGAAATTCTTAAGTTAGTGTTTTTTATATCAAGAATCCGTTTACTGTTAAAATATGATAATTGTATTTTGTTTAACGTTATCATTCTTGAATCTGGGTGCTCTTTGGGATCGGGATGCATTATCTTGCATGCATTTTCCTTGTAAACTGGAACATTGCATATTTGCTTTCTTCATTATGTTTTTACCTGTTCTGCCTTCACTCTCCTTGTACATTGCTTGATGGTAGTGACAACATCTTGGATGCAGAATGATGATATGAACGAGTCAGATGATGATAGTTCTATGATGAGGAATTGAAAAAGATGGGTGGATTTGCCCTTCAAGAAGCGTCCAGGGAATATGGCATGAAGAAAGATAAACCAAGGAAGAAACGCTCTGTAAATTCTGGATCTTTAGCTTTGGAAAGCCTACTGATGAAGAACGATACAAGAACCAATTCTTCAAGAAAGAAGCATGTGCCTCGGTTCACTCATTCTTGGCCTTCACATGCTCAGAAGAGTAAAGCTTCCAAAAAAATGCATGGTACAACTGGTTTCATAAATGTTTAAATTCCATATACATGCTATAGTTGAGACTGACTATTATACAAACTTCACCTGTTGGGAGTTGATGATGAGATGCCGAATATTCTGCTGCTGACTATGTAAATAATAAAAAAAAAACTGAGTGAAGACAGAAGAGTTGGAAAGAGACATACTAAACAGAACAATTTTAGATTGCAAGAACTTCAATCTTCCCAGAACAAGTTCTCAGGCAGCCATAAAGTGAAGGACAAGAGAGGGAGTGGACAAAAGGGTTCATACGCTAATCAGCCTGTCTCATTTGTATCAAGTGGCATGATCCATTCCGAGAGTGTACCTGTTACAGTTGTTGAGGCTGAAGAGACTTATAGGAAGGGTGTCACTAACTCTGCCAATATAGGATCATTTGAAGAACATACTACTGGTTTTGGTTCAAAAATGATGGCTAAAATGGGGTACATTGAGGGAGGAGGACTGGGGAAAAATGGTCAAGGTATGGCACAACCTATTGAGGTTATTCAAAGGCCTAAATCACTTGGTTTTAGTGTAGAATTCTCCAACAACGCAGGTGAGCCAGCTGTGAAGATATCTTTAAGAGTTGGTGCTGAATCACTTGGTTTGAATGTAGAATTGTTCAAAAACCAAGGTGAATTAGCTAGGAACAGATCTTCAAGAGTTGGTGCTTTTGAAAAACATACCAAAGGCTTTGGGTCTAAGATAATGGCAAAGATGGGCTTTGTTGAAGGTAAGGGATTATCATAAGNTACTACTGGTTTTGGTTCAAAAATGATGGCTAAAATGGGGTACATGGAGGGAGGAGGACTGGGGAAAAATGGTCAAGGCATGGCACAACCTATTGAGGTTATTCAAAGGCCTAAATCACTTGGTTTTAGTGTAGAATTCTCCAACAACGCAGGTGAGCCAGCTGTGAAGATATCTTTAAGAGTTGGTGCTGAATCACTTGGTTTGGATGTAGAATTGTCCAAAAACCAAGGTGAATTAGCTAGGAACAGATCTTCAAGAGTTGGTGCTTTTGAAAAACATACCAAAGGCTTTGGATCTAAGATAATGGCAAAGATGGGCTTTGTTGAAGGTAAGGGATTATCATAAGACATCACCACTCCACTGACTGCTCTTAGATTACCAAAATCACGAGGACTAGGTGTCAAAAGTTGATTTAGACATATAATTTCTTTTTTGTGTTTGTATATAATTGTACTGTGTGTTGCATTAAACCTTATGATTCTGCCTTGTAATTTAGATTTACTATGGGATCAGAATCACTTGATCAGTATGATGGAACCCTTAAAGCTTCTTAATATTTACTTTTAGACTTCTTATAGTAAAAGTCAAAGACATCACACACACACACATATATATAGATGCAAAGATGAAATTAGATTTAATCAGAGAGCAGAAAAGAAAACTTCACTAGCAAATGGCAGTTGTTTTATCATTATTTCCAACAGTAACTGAGCAAGATGACATGGTATATGTTGCATGTTGTATGTGATGTATCTATCTCAACAAACTAGAATAATATGTCTCATATATTTAGTTTTTAAATAAAATACCAAAGAAAAAGGTGTAATACGGGCCTCCATTTGAAAAGCTAGCTGTGACAGACGTGATGAGTAATGCAGTGGAAAACATCCGTTTATTTTATAGAGGTATTTGAAGTGACACTAACGTAAAGGGTTGGTATTCTCAATTATGAAGTTTCAGCATGTAGGTAACTTAAAAATAGATCTAAGTGGAAAAGTAGCAGGTCATTTGACAACGTTAAACCTTCGTATCTAATGTTGACAAAGAAAAATAAGATTGGACCTGGCGATTTTCTTTTTAAGAAAGTGTTGAAATTACATTATAAATATGCAGTGTTAATATGGCTGAACACCAATGGTTCTTAAATGATTAAATCCCTTATATGGATTACTTTAGTTTATTGAGATGGATATATGGCATGCAACAATGCTATCTTGCCCAATTGCCATTGAGAATGAAAGGGAACACCTACCTTTTTGCTGAAGTTTCCCTTTCTTCTCTTCGAAATTAAATCCAAAACAAGACGCTTTCAATTGGAAACTGAAAACCGTACAGGGCCAATACGAAAACTAGAGAGTAACCAGAGCATTAAAGAATTCAGAGATCGTACATGAGAATGCCTTAATGACATACCAGTCTTTGATGACTTGCCTTTTACTATGAGAATTGTCTAAAAAATAAATAACGGAGCCGGAATTTGGATTCTAACAGTGTGATTCAAGAGATGGTCATCCCATAGTAAATCTAAATTACAAGGCAGAATCATAAGGTTTAATGCAACACACAGTACAATTATATACAAACACAAAAAAGAAATTATATGTCTAAATCAACTTTTGACACCTAGTCCTCGTGATTTTGGTAATCTAAGAGCAGTCAATGGAGTGGTGATGACTTATGATAATCCCTTACCTTCAACAAAGCCCATCTTTGCCATTATCTTAGAACCAAAGCCTTTGGTATGTTTTTCAAAAGCACCAACTCTTGAAGATCTGTTCCTAGCTAATTCACCTTGGTTTTTGAACAATTCTACATACAAACCAAGTGATTCAGCACCAACTCTTAAAGATATCTTCACAGCTGGCTCACCTGCGTTGTTGGAGAATTCTACACTAAAACCAAGTAATTTAGGCCTTTGAATAACCTCAATAGGTTGTGCCATACCTTGACCATTTTTCCCCAGTCCTCCTCCCTCAATGTACCCCATTTTAGCCATCATTTTTGAACCAAAACCAGTAGTATGTTCTTCAAATGATCCTATATTGGCAGAGTTAGTGACACCCTTCCTATAAGTCTCTTCAGCCTCAACAACTGTAACAGGTACACTCTCGGAATGGATCATGCCACTTGATACAAATGAGACAGGCTGATTAGCGTATGAACCCTTTTGTCCACTCCCTCTCTTGTCCTTCACTTTATGGCTGCCTGAGAACTTGTTCTGGGAAGATTGAAGTTCTTGCAATCTAAAATTGTTCTGTTTAGTATGTCTCTTTCCAACTCTTCTGTCTTCACTCAGTTTTTTTTTTATTATTTACATAGTCAGCAGCAGAATATTCGGCATCTCATCATCAACTCCCAACAGGTGAAGTTTGTATAATAGTCAGTCTCAACTATAGCATGTATATGGAATTTAAACATTTATGAAACCAGTTGTACCATGCATTTTTTTGGAAGCTTTACTCTTCTGAGCATGTGAAGGCCAAGAATGAGTGAACCGAGGCACATGCTTCTTTCTTGAAGAATTGGTTCTTGTATCGTTCTTCATCAGTAGGCTTTCCAAAGCTAAAGATCCAGAATTTACAGAGCGTTTCTTCCTTGGTTTATCTTTCTTCATGCCATATTCCCTGGACGCTTCTTGAAGGGCAAATCCACCCATCTTTTTCAATTCCTCATCATAGAACTATCATCATCTGACTCGTTCATATCATCATTCTGCATCCAAGATGTTGTCACTACCATCAAGCAATGTACAAGGAGAGTGAAGGCAGAACAGGTAAAAACATAATGAAGAAAGCAAATATGCAATGTTCCAGTTTACAAGGAAAATGCATGCAAGATAATGCATCCCGATCCCAAAGAGCACCCAGATTCAAGAATGATAACGTTAAACAAAATACAATTATCATATTTTAACAGTAAACGGATTCTTGATATAAAAAACACTAACTTAAGAATTTCTTCCTGCAACCCATTTACAAAAGAAAAGTATGGAAGAACCAAGAAAAGATTTTAACGATAAAGAAGTCTTGATGACCAAAAACTGAGAGTTTCTTCCAGCATCTCACCCGAATTCAAGAATCGTAGACAAGAATTCAAGAGGAATTCTCCCGCACCTCACTAATTTCGTCCTAATTTCGTCCTGCACCTCCAATGGAGACATGTACCCTTCAATTTAAAAAGAATAAAGTAAATGCACCGGTGAGAAATAAATGAAAAGCGTAATAAATTTTGACCAACCATTTTTTAACTATATGATCTGCACCCCTGTTTTCACTTCATTTATAATATGTTTTTGTTTTTTAATTATATTTTAATTTTTATTGTGTTTTGTTGTTTTTTATTTAATTTTTAATTTATGTCTTAATGTTTTTAATTTTTTATTTAATTTATAATATGTCTATATTTTTTATTTAATATTTAATATTTAACATGTTTTTGTTGTTTTTATTTGTTAGTTAATTTTTAATACGTGTTAATGTTTTTAATTTTTTATTTAATTTATAATATGTTTATGTTTTTTAATTATTATTTAATTTTAATATCTTGTGTTGTTTTTTATTTAATAATTTGTAATATGTGATGTTGCTTTTATCTATTATTTAATTTTGAATTTGTGTTGTTATTATTATTAAATTGAGAAATATTTAGTGATAACTATGTTTATTGTAGGTTGTGATTAATACTATAAGATGGATAATTATGTTTTTGTCTCAATTTTTTTCTTTTGTAAATAAAGTGGTTGAGGGTGATTATATAAATAAATTTATTACAGATAAAAGATTTTCTTCACATGATGATTTAATTGAATGAGTTTGAAATATTGCATTCGATCTTGGATTTATTGTGGTCATTATAAGATCTAACACAACAAGTGGTGAAACTGAAAGAAAGACATTCGTTTTATTAAGTTGTGAAAGGAGTGAGAAGTATAGGTAGTATAAACTAGATTTTCAATCCTGTGTATCTAGAACAAAAAAAATGTGGGTGTCCATTTAGGTCGAGGCGAAAACCCTATCCTAATGGAGAGGGTTGGGTTTTTAGGGTTATTTGCGGCTATTACAACCATGAATTAATTGAGAATTTGGTTGGTCATTCTTTTGTTAGAAGGTTAAATGTGGCTCAACAATCAATATTTGTTGACATGACTAAGAGTTAAGTAAAGTCCTCGAATATTCTGTTGACTCTTAAAGAACATAACGATATTAATGTGACAACTATGAAACAAATAGATAACACAAAGTACACATACAAATGATTTTTGAGAGGATCAAGAACTGAAATGCAACAGTTGATGATGATGTTAGATTGAGATAAATACATCCAGTGGAGCAGATTTTTAGACAATTCTGACGTGATAAGTGACCTATTCTGCACACATCTCAATGCAGTCCACTTGTTAAATTCGTTTAATATAGATTTCTTGATGGATATCACGTACAAGACAAACAAATATCGTCTTCCCTTACTTGAGATAGTCGGCGCCACATCAACAAGGTTGACATTTATAGCTACCTTTGCATTGTTATCAAGTGAACACCAAAATAATTTCACTGGGTATTAGAAAGGTTCAGAGGAATATTTATGACATATGAGGGTCGTCCACACATTATTGTTACTGACAGAGAGACTTTGTTTTGATGAATATCATTGACAATATATTTTCTAAAGCTTATCAGATGCTTTGTAGGTTCTACATTATGAAAAATGCCAAAGTCAAATGCAAGATGTTAGTGAATTTTCAGTTGAGGCATGATAAGTGTTAATGGAAGCATGTTAAAATGTGATAGACTGTGAGAAACAATCCATGTTTGGTGCTTATGTTTATATTGTCTTGAGTATACATACACCTCTAGGGCATGACCTCTATTTTTTTTTAATATGTAAATTATACTTGGATCATTTAGTTTAAGACATACTTCATTAAAGTGTGGACCAACAACACTACAACAAACAAGTAATTTTAATTTTTTTTTCCTTATTTATGTTGGTGCTCTCAAAATGGGTTAGAACATGTCTGCCAACCCGGCCCACCACGCATTCGGATCGAGTTGGATTTGAAAAAAATAAATTTTTTTATACAGGCCAATTTTCAACCCAGCTCACTTAGAACTCGGTCTACCCAAGTTGAATTCGTGGTAAACCGAGTTAGCTCACAAATGCACATAATTTAATTTAATTATTTATTATTTTGTGGTTTAATATTATTAGTTAATATTTTTTTATTGTATTGTAAATGAGAATAATGAAAAAAAAATGTCTCAAATATAAATATATTCATTCAAGAGTTTAACCTTGTAAATAAGTGACACAAAAATTATTAATATTATAAATTTATTTATTCACTTATTGAATTTGCTTTTGAATTACATTTGATTTGTAAGTTAATTTTTTTATTTTGACTAGTTTTTGAAATTTAACATCATTTTAAAATAAAAATATTTAAATTTGAATTACAAAAAATTATAATTCTTTTAATTTAAAAAATTGTAACTAAATAAGTTAGTGAGTCAAATCATTTAATCCAACAACAAATCATAGATTAAACCGAAGACAAATGTTTTCGACTCACTTCCACTGACTTTTAAAAGTCTGTTAAAACCTCGGCTTATTCCAAATTACGAATAGAGGTCATAAAAAGGTGTTCTATTTAGGCTGGAAATCAGCACAAAAAGTATAACTCCACCATATGGCACATAAATTGATCCTCATAAAGCTGTTGGGTTTGGCTATTAATTATTACAGCTATAACCATGTTAGCACAGAAAATTAATGATAAACGTCCATTTATTTTATACAGGTATTGAAGTGACACTAACGTAAAGGGTTGGTATTCTTGATTATGAAGCTTCAACATGTCTCAATTATAAAGGTTTAAGCAACGCACAATACAATTACATACAAAGACTGAAAATAAATAATGTCTAAATCAACTTTTGGCACCTAGTCCTCGTGACTTTGGTAACCTAAGAGCAGTCAATGGAGTGGTGATGCCTTGTGATTCTCTACCTAATCCCTTACCTTCAACAAAGCCCATCTTCGCCATCATCTTAGACCCAAAGCCTTTGGTATGTTTTTCAAAAGCACCAACTCTTGAAGATCTGTTCCTAGCTATTTCACCTTGGTTTTTGGACAATTCTACATCCAAACCAAATGATTCAGCACCTGGGTTGTTGGAGAATTCTACACCCAAACCAAGTGATTTAGGCCTTTGAATAACCTCAATAGGTTGTGCCATACCTTGACCATTTTTCCCCAGTCCTCCTCCCTCCATGTACCCCATTTTAGCCATCATTTTTGAACCAAAACCAGTAGTATGTTCTTCAAATGATCCTATATTGGCAGAGTTAGTGACACCCTTCCTATAAGTCTCTTCAGCCTCAACAACTATAACAGGATCAGTTTCAGAACGGATCATGCCACTTGATACAAATGAGACAGGCTGATTAGCATATGAAACTTTTTGCCCACTCCCTCTCTTGTCCTTCACTTTATGACTGCCTGAGAACTTGTTTTGGGGAGATTGTAGTTCTTGCAATCTAAAATTGTTCTGTTTAGTATGTCCCTTTCCAACTCTTCTGCCTCCGCTCACAGGTTTCTTATTTACATTATCAGCAACAGAAAAATCGGCATCCTCATCATCAACTCCTAACAGCTGAAGTTTGTATAATAGTCAGTCTCAACTATAGCAAATACATGTATTGAGTAAAAAATACTAAGGTTTTGAAAGAAATGTCCAGTTATTGAAATATAAAAAAACTCGAGCAGATATTTCAAGGTTTAAAAGAATTAGGATGCAACACTGAAAAAAAACGAGATGGGGATGGGTCAAACTATCTCAAAGACAGGGATGAAAAACAGGAGGAAAAAGTATAAATGTTATAACAATATAAAACCTTTTCCAAGCGCTGTCTACCACTTGAAGATGGCATGGATGTAGACTGTGTCCGCGTCACTGTCACGAATCTAAAACCAAAATACAAAGTTTATTAAATTTACAGGTATTAACATTTAATTTTATGAATAAATAAGGCAACATCACTATAACCTTTTTTTGCCAGAACCTTGGCAGCTACTCCGCAATTGATAAATCCCTGCTAATCTTTGTATCTATATTCATTGAGAACCCACATCAGTGGGAGGCATAAGGTATTTAAACATTTATGAAACCAGCTGCTATGCAAAAACAAATAGCATACAACTGTTTTCTTGGACAAAATCTATGGTTTGGGCTTTTGGACATGCACGGAATTCTTGAAAGATAGTAATGCAAAAAAGAGCCCCGATAAATTACATATGGCTTTACCATCCCAAACTGTTTGACTGTTCCAAACTTGACATGTACCTTATTCAAACACACAATCCCTTTATGATTACTTTTCTTACAAATCCCTTTTTTACTTTTCTTACAAATCCCTTTTTTTGTGCAAAATCTATTTGACAAGAACAGGGCACTGATGAGAAACTTTTGGTGGTGCTTATGCATTTTAAAAAGAAAAATAACTATTATTAGGACCATGAGATAGAACTATTACAGCCAGGATACACACCTGTGAACAATCCCGAGAATCCATAGGTTGAAAAGAGAATATATCCACTTCCTCCAAAACAATTTGTTGTAATTTCTAGAATTCCAAAAAATGAAAAAGTTATGTTGAG